GAACTCAGTCAGCAATTAATTTAATTCACTTTCAAAGCAGATTATCCTCTTTCCCATAGCTGCCCATTTAATGGAATGGAAGAATTGTCAGCTGGCTTCAGGGCATTTTAAGGAAATAAAGTGGAAAAAGTCTGCCGCTGTAGGCATGCCCTATGTCAGTCTGTATGAATTATGAAGTGCATTTCCTACTCTCTCCTTTATCAGTACAAATGGTAGCACGCAAAAACCAAAGACTAGGATTGTTATTTTTTAAGTGAACAGCTCTCTGCTCTGCTGACCTAAACCTCTTTCTCTGTCTCCTTCCCGCAAACTCATTCATTTCAACGGATTTAAGGGAGGATGCAAATGAAGAAGTTGCCGAACGGCAGTGAGAGGCAATGAGTATTGAAGGCAAGGGAGGAAAAAGAGGGAGGGGAGAGTAGAATACAGAGAAATTGGAGGGGAGGAGCTCCAGCAGAAGGAGGATGGGGATAGAACAGAGCAAAAGGGAAAAGAGAGGAGAGAGGAAGAGGTATTTTTAAGATTGCGGTAGCATCAGAAATATGTTAGGCTCTTTCCACACGTGAGGAAGGTACAGCTCCTGTCCCAAAAAGTTTACTGGGACAGAAAAATTCTGATCATGCTCATCCTCAGTAAATAGGATAAGGGAGAAAGAATCAGCAAAGAACAGCAAAGACAAAATCATCTGAATCACCCATCACTCTAATATCTGAACACTAAGGCACTCAGATACCAAACTGATGGGTATGGCCCGAACACCATTAACTGATCACTCCTAGGAGGAACTGCTGGCTAGTGCACGTAATTTATGCTACAAATCCATCAGAGTATTGTTTAGGTCGGGGTGGGCAAACTTTTTGGCTGGGGGGGCCACATCTATGTGGGGAAATTGCATGCAGGGCCACAAATGTAGGGCTGGTGCAGCAGGGGGTGTGGTGTGCAGGAAGGGGCTCAGGGCAAAGGGTTGGGGCATAAGAGAGGGCACAGAGTGCAGGAGGGGGCTCAGGGCAGGGATTGGGGTGCAGAGTGTGGGAGGGGGCTGAGGGCAGGGGGTTGGGGTGCAGGAAGGGTACGGGAGCAGCTTGAGCAGTGCTGGGGGGGCAGTGGCATACAGCAGGGGACAAAGGTAGGCTCCCTGCCTGCCCTGGCCATGCACCGCTCCCAGAAGTGGTCAGCACCACATCCCTGCAGCCACTGTTCCCTCTAAGCTGTGTGCACGCGCACAGATCCGAAACACCACACACACAAAAAATGAAATACTACATCAGAGCCAGGCCGAAATACCATTTACGTGTGACTTTTGACATTGTTTGCCCGCCATCTATCAACACAGCCAGATTCTACTAGCTGGCACCAAGGTGGGGGGGAGGGAGAGGGAAAGGAGGGCAATGAATCGTACCCCTCCCCGTCAGCATTTCAAATATGGAATGTTGACCACATTGGGACGTGGGGACCCACATATCTCCATTTTCCCGTGTTTTTTTGCCACAGATGCATGGATGTGATCGGAGCTATGCACAAACTTCCAGTATCTTGATGTGAATGATCTCCCATTTGCCCTTTTGTCGAGTCACACTGTTAAGTGCACTGAAATAGTAGCCCTATAATAAAAGTATTAATTTTAAATAAACCAATCTGGTAAAAAATCAATCCCAAAATGTCACAGCCTACAGGTCTAAAGTGTAAAAGAACAGTGACTTCATTTGAAGCTAGATGACTGGATGAGACTATAGAGATGGTTACACCGAAGTCACATAGTGTAATGCTTGTTAAACTTTGTGAAATATTCACAGATGATGAGGACAACAAAGTGGCTTGTGTATATTGTCGAGATACCAGAGCTTCGGGAGAATTTTCAACAGGAAGAACGTGGAACGATGTATGGAAGTTGGATTTCTTAAAGCGTCATCTGTCAAATCCCTCTGTTCAAAATACAAAGACTTTCTTGCTGAAGAGATTGTTATAGTCAGTCAGTACAATGACTCCAATTTTCAGTAGCAGAAAGAATCAAAAACCAACTGGTTTTAAGTTTCCCGGATATGATAACGTTTGCTCACCAGAACGAACAGTTTCAGGATCTTGCAAAGTTGATGGATATTGGAGGAACATTTCTAGCATTAAGTGCAGACTGTGAGCATGGCTTTAGCTTAATGAACACTCTAAAAAACAAACTATGGAATCATTTACAAGTAGATCATCTGGACATGCTGATGTGTATTAAGAGTTACCAGCTGGATGGAGGACTGAGATCTGGACAGAGTTTATATTGAATTGGCAAATGAAAAAGATCGCAGGAAAAAACAATAAGGTTAGTTTAGCAGTCTTTGACATTTTGACCAATAAGGAAATTAAAATGCATTTGTAATTACATATCTTATTCTTGGCTGATAATCGTTTATTGATATTTTTTAGGAAAATTTTAAATTTAAAACAAACTAATTTTTCTTTTTTTCCTTTTCCCTTTTTTTTTTTTAAACTTAGGATGTCTATCTGAAAACCATATAAATTGACATAATAGCATACTTATTAAATTGTGTTTATTATATGTTTATCAAAATCTTTTAGGACACTTGTATAGAATGAAAGGTGAAAGAGGACACCAAACAGGCAGAAGCCTATGGACTGATAATGATTAATATGTGCTTGATATATGCTCATGTCTATAAAAAAGATCATAAAGCGTAATGCTTAAAACTAACTACTGCTTCACGAAGAATGGTTAAATTTCCTTTTTCTAAGTATTTAAAAATGACATTTATAAAATAAAATATAAAATAACCCCCCCCCCCCAGGGTCACAGGGACATGGTGCCAGTAGTCTGCCCACCCCTGGTTTAGGTGGATGACATTTCTCGAGTACAGAAAAATAGGTCTTCCAAAGGAGCATGCCCCAACATTAGGTGCTTAAATTTGGAGTTTTCCTCTTTCCAGCTGAGCTGTCCCAGTAGTCTACAACTTCATCTGTGGTAAATTATGGGCTTTCTGGGAGGTAATACATTCTGATTACTGTCCTATTCTTGCTCTGTCATCATTTAGGAGAAACAGAAGTGGGAAGTACTGACTCCACTTCATAATGACTAAAAAGTCTCACCTGCATTGCTCTCTATAACATCATTCTAAATTCAACACCACAAGGATCGTGGTGTAAGTTAATACTGATACCAAAACTCACTGAAACCCATTGAGAACTGTGGAATAGCAGCAGTTGGAGAAACCATAGGCTTTTCACAGCAGCCAGTCTGGGAGGTATTGAATCAATATGCAGATTTATGGAAAGATTTATGAAAGACCCTTTCATGTTCTGCAGGAGAGCAACCACTGCGAGAAAAATCAGTGAAACTCCATGACTGAATTCAAGGCTGTGTTTTAAGCACCTTTACACCACACCATAATCATAAAAGGTCTGGGAAGCAGCTGGAACCCCTCCCGCACAGCCAAAAATGTCCCCAGTACAGGGAATTCCTTGAAGAACACAGAGTTATTAATTATTTGTATTGCTGTAGCACCGAGGAGGCCCCATCACGGACCAGTATCCTGATGAGCTGGGCACAGTAGAAACACAGAACCAAATATCCTCCAGTCCCTGGCTCCAGCCACTTACCATCTAACATAATGCCCCATCATCCCTACCCCTCACAGGTCTTGGTGCAAAGAAGAGCCTGCGGCATAGCCCATAAATGGTTTCTGGAAGTTTCCATAACTTACAGCAGTTCCAAAGGCTGCTCCACTTTATGCTGGGTGCATGGCAGACACCTAGCCAGACCGAGAATTTGCAACATGCCATAGGACAAAAGCACCTGTGCCCAGGCCATGGCTACACCCTCTGAACTGCTCAGAATACGTACATGAGAACAATAAGGTAGAGGACCAACAGGTCTCTCTACTTTATAATGATTTAGGGCAAACACACACACTTTGTTATAACTAAACCAGTATTTAAAAAAAAAAAAAAAAAACTGAGAGGGACCAAGTGTGGACCATGTTTTCAGAAGTCTTAAAAGAGCAACACTCTGATGCGGAAGTTACAGAATCCAAACCACCAAAAAAGAAAATCAACCTTCTGCTGGTGGCATCTGACTCAGATGATGAAAATGAACATGTGCCAGTCTGTACTGCTTTGGATTGTTATCAAACAGAACCCATCATCAGCAATGACATGTCCTCTGGAATGGTGGTTGAAGTATGAAGGGACATATGAATCTTTAGCCCATCTGGCATGTAAATACCTTGCAAAGCCAGCTACAAAAGTGCCATGCGAACGCCTGTTCTCGCTTCCAGGTGACACTGTAAAGAAGAAGCAGGCAGCATTATCTCCTGCAAATTGTAACCAACCTTGTTTGTCTGAGTGATTGGCTGACCAAGAAGTAGGACTGAGTGGACTTGTAGGCTCTAAAGTTTTACACTGGTTTATTTTTTAATGCAATTTTTTTTTTAACATAATTCTACATTTATAAGTTCAACTTTCAGGATATAGAGATTGCACTACAGTACTTGTATGAGGTAAACTGAAAATTTTTTTTGTTTTGATTTTTACAGTGCAAATATTTGTAATAAAAAGTAAACATAAGTGAGCACTGTACACTTTGTATTCTGTGTTGTAACTGAAATTAATATATTTGAAAATGTAGTAAACATCCAAAAATACTTAAAATAAATGGTATTCTATTGTTGTTTAACAATGCGAATAATCGTGATTAATTTTTTAAATTGCTTGACAGCCCTAGTTTTAAATGAGTGCCTTTTACATAGTTTTTCTGTTTACTGTGTACATTTTTTCCCTAGGAACAAGACTTTTTAGAAAAAACATTTCTGAACAGGATATTTATTAGTCATATGATTAAATTGTCCTTCAAAATGGAAATGGAGAACGGGGAATTAAATTGGCAGAGCTGAACTACGCTTTTTAGTGGCTTTATATTTTTTTAATACTAGGAACGAAGTATATCAAGTGTAAAAACATGGTTCCCGTTCCACGGATGACACAGTAACAAAGACATCATCCACTTGTTATACACGTTAATTTAATTACATGGAAGAATTTCCCATTTCACGGACAGCCTTTATTTCCAGGTAACTTCTTCACCGGGTTTCAATTCCCTGTGTGGAGGGGAAAAAAAATTAGGATAGTAAAATTAGGTAGTGCACAGGACTTTTGCAGACGGTAATCTACATTACTGTTCATAGATTTAAGTTAGTGTTTCACTAGCTTAATTATGAGGTATTTTGTAACAGATCTTGATTTCTATTTTAACTTTTAAGAATAATTAATATTCTTGACTTTCCTTATAACTGTTAATCAGAAACTGTATCATTTGAACAACTGGTCTTCCGCTCTTCTTAAGGGTTAGGATCACTTTTTTCTGTGTACTTTATTATACTCTGGACTCCCTTTCACATTAGCCTCCCCCCCCCACCCCAATGAGTGCTGTAGAGAAGACCCTGCAGCAGCAGATCTCCATTGACTAAAATGGGGCTTCATGGCAGGGTCCACTCACATTGGACTGGAGCTCATTGGACAATTGTGGCCTTAGATATCATGTGTGGCTAATGAGGACTTGAAGTAGAGTTTAGGAACATGACAAAGACATCTATAAAATGGTTAGAAGAGTTACTAGAAAGCAACTGAACAAGATGCATCTTCAGCAGTCCCTGCCCCTTTTAGTATGAAAACAAATGGATTTAGGAGCCAATCTATCATGTATGTGCTGTTCCCAATGAAGTCAATGGGACTTCAGTACCAGGCAGATTGGTTGAAACTATACTAAAGAACAGAATTATTGGGAAAGAGTCAACATGGCTTTTGTAAAAGGAAATCATGTCTCACAAATCTGTTAGAATTCTTTGAGGATGTCAACAGACACATGGACAAGGGTGATCCAGTTGATATATAGTACCTGGACTTTAAGAAAGCCTTGGACAAGGTCCCAAACCAAAGGCTCTTAAGCAAAGTCAGCAGTCATGGGATAAAGGGAAGGTTCTCTCATGGATCAGTAACTGAGTAAAAGATAGAAATCAAAGGGTATGATCTGTACTGGGACCAGTGTTTCCTCTAATTTTTTATGTCCATGTGTGGAACGAATTTTGTTATGTTCACCAATATGGTAGTGATGTGTGACATCACCTTCATATTAGTGCTAACAAAATTCATGTGGTGGGGGTGGGGCCAAGGGATTTGGAGTTTGGGAGGGGGCTCAGGAACGGGGCAGAGGGTTCAGGGGGTGAGGGCTCGGGCTGGGAGTGCGGACTCTGGGGTGGGGCTGGGGAGTGAGAGGGGGCTCAGGGCTATGGCAGAGGGTTGGAGTGTGGCGGAGATGAGGGATCTCGCTAGGGGTGTGGGCTCTGGGAAGGAGCTGGGGATGAGGAGTGCAGGAGGGGGCTCAGGGTTGGGGAAGAGGGTGAGGGCTCCGGCTAGGGGTAAAAGCTCTGGAGTGGGGAGGGGCTCAAGGTGTGGGAGGGGGCTCAGGGCTGGGGCAGACTCCCCCTAGCCCTCTCTTGCCACAGTAACTCAGGGCTCCTCTCCCTGGCAGCTCTGGTGGGGCCGGGGGCGGAGCTCCTCTCCACAGCAGGGCCAGGTGACAGCTCCTCTCCCCGGCAGCTCCTGAGAGCCTACTGCACAGCCACACAGCTTGCAGGGAACATAGACCAGGACCTGTGCTGTTCACCATATTCATAAATTATCTGGAAAAGGGGGTTAACAGTGAGATGGCAAAATTTGCAGATGATACAAAATTAGTCAAGATTGCAGTCAGCTTTGGACTTATCTAGCAGTGACAAATGGATTTCTATCACTGGGCAACAAAATGGCAGATGAAATTCAGTATTCATAACTGTAAAGTAGGGCTGTCGATTAATCGTGGTTAATTCACACAATTAATTCAAAAAAATTAATCACGATTAAAAAATTAATTATTGCCCCTTTTAATCGCACTATTAAACAATAGACTACCAATTGAAATTTATTAAGTATTTTGGATGTTTTTCTACATTTTCATATCTATTGTATTCTGTGTTGTAATTAAAATCAAGTGTATATTATTTTATTATAAATATTTGCACCGTAAAAATCATAAAAGAAATAGTATTTTTCAATTCACCTCATAAAAGTACTCTAGTACAATCTCTGTCATGAAAGTGCTACTTACAAATGTAGGTTTTTTGCTATGTAACTGCACTCAAAAACAAAGCAATATAAAACTTCAGAGCCTACAGGTCCACTCAGTCCTACTTCTTGTTCAGCCAATCATTAAGACAGACAATTTTGTTTACATTTATGGGAGATAATGCTGCACTCTTCTTATTTGTAATGTCACCAGAAAGCGAGAACAGGCATTTGCATGGCACTTTTGTAGCCAGTATGCAAGATATTTACATGCCAGATATGCCAAAGATTTGTATGCCCCTTCATGCTTCGGCCACCATTCCAAAGGACATGCTTCCATGCTGATGACGCTCGTAAAAAAATAATACGTTAATTAAATTTGTGACTGACCTTGGGGGAGAATGGTATGTCCCCTGCTGTTTTACCCACATTGTGCCATATATTTGATGTTATAGGAGTCTTAGATGATGACCCAGCACCAAACATGCCAAACCCGCGAAAAAACCGCAGATATTGGGCTTGTTTTTGGCTTAATTGGCTTGTGAGTTGCTTTTTGGCTAGTAGCTTGTTGGGCCTGTAGCCTGTTGCAGCTTGTTGCTTCTTTTTTTTTTTTTGATTGGCTCCTGGCAAGCAGGGGCGGAGCGGAGCAAGGAGAGGAAGAGAGTCAGGGGTGTACAGCGGGCCAACCAGAGTCCCAGACTGCACGCCATGGGGATCTAGTCACAGAGTGTTGGGGTTCTTAGGGATTGGCTTGTTTTGGCCTTGTTTTGAAATGGGATTAGCTTGATTTTTGGCTTATTGTGAAATTCAGGGTGCTTATTTACTGTGTGAAAATTGGCACCTGTGCCCAGCACATGTTGTTCATTTTAAGAACACTTTCACAGCAGATTTGACAAAACGCAAAGAAGGTACCAATGTGACATTTCTAAAGATAGCTACAGCACTCGACCCTTCCAAAATCTGAGAGGGAATGGTGGTTGAAGCGCGAAGGGACATATGAATCTTTAGTGCATCTGGCACGTAAATACCTTGCAATGCCTGCTACAAAAGTGCCATGCGAACGCCTGTTCTCACTTTCAGGTGACATTGTAAACAAGAAGTGGGCAGCATTATCTCCTGGAAATGTAAGCAATTTTGTTTGCCTGAGCAATTGGCTGAACAAGAAGAAGTAGGACTGAGTGCACTTGCAGGCTCAAAACTTTTACATTGTTTTATTTTTGAATGCAGGGTTTTTTTTTTACATAATTCTGCATTTGTAAATTCAACTTTCATGATAAAGAGATTGCACACAGTACTTGTATTAAGTGAACTGAAAAATACTATTTCTTGTTTTTTACAGCGCAAATACTTGTAATCAAAAATAAATAAATATAAAGTGAGCACTGTATACTTTGTATTCTGTGTTGTAATTGAAATAAACATATTTGAAAATGTAGAAAACATCCAAAACTATTTAAATGGTATTCTATTATTGTTTAACAGTGCGATAAATTGCACGATTAATTTTTTTAATCGCTTGACAGCTCTACTGCAAAGTAATGCACTTTGGAAAATGTAAGCCCAACTATACATACAAAATGATGGGGTCTAAATTAGTTGTTACCACTAAAGGAGATCTTGGAATCATCGTGGATACTACTCTGAAAACATCGGCTCAATGTGCAGCAGCGGTCAAAAAAAGCTTACAGAATGTTAGGAACCATTAGAAAAGGGATAGATAATAAGACAGAAAATATCATAAAACCACCATACAAATCCATGGTATGCTCACACCGCAAATACTAAGTGTAGTTCTGGTCACCCCATCTCAAAAAAGATACATTAGAATTGGAGAAGGTATAGAAAACGGCAACAAAAGTCATTAAGGGTATGGAACAGCTTTCATACAAGGAGATGAAAAAGACTGATTGTTAAGCGTACAAAAGAGACAACTAAAGGGAGAGACGATAGAGATCTACATAAAATGATTAATGGCGTGGAGAAAGTGAATAAAGAAGTGTTATTTATGCCTTGACATAACACAAGAACCATGGGTCACCCAATGAAATTAATAGGCAGCAGGTTTAAAACAAGCATAAGGAAGTATTTCTTCACACAGTGAACAGTCGCCCTGTGGAACTCTTTGACAGAAGACGTTGTGAAGGCCACAAGTATAACTGAGTTCAGAAAAGAATTAGATAAGTTCATGGAAGGGTAGGTCCATCAATAGCTATTTGCCAAGATGGTCAGGGATTCAACCCCATGCTTTGGGTGTCCCTAAACAACTGACTGCCAGAAGCTGGGACTGGAAAACAGGGGATGGATCACTTGATCATTGCCCTGTTCTGTTCATTCCCTCTGAACCATATGGCAGCAGCCACTGTCAGAAGACAGGATACTGGGCTAGACGGACCATTGGTCTGACCCAGTATAGCCATTCTTATGACATTCATTTGGAGAAGGATTGCAAGAGGGGAAGGATTGCAAGATTTCTTAACTCCATCTAATCTAAATGGGAGTTGAGAACACTGATCACCTCACTTGAAGTGCTCAACATTTTGCAGGACAGGACCTACAGGGCAAAATCCTGCATCCTTTGAAGTCAATATCAAAACTCACATCACTTCAATGGGAGCAGGATTAGGCCTTTCAGACAGATTATTTTGTTTAAAAAGTTGTGTCATAAACTAACCTTTTAAATAACATGCTCTTGTTTCTGAAAGCTGATAGTTTTTCATCATTCCTTCTGTCCAGATAGCATCCAATAACAAATCCCATGGGACACAAAATATGGACCCAGTATTCACGCACAGCTTGGATAAAATTCACCATGATTGCTAGAACGAAAAAAAACAGCAACCATGGGGCGGGGGGAAGAGGAGACAAAAATCTGAACATAGAAACCACTGCATATATCTAGTACATACAACCTCCTACAATGGAATTTTCTCTATGCAATCATGAACATCTGAAGGTTAACATATTTTAACTAGAGGAAAATGCTGCTCTCAGGTCCACATGGAATTCCTAGGAACAGCCAGATACTGGAATCTAGATTAAATTTGTAGTACTGACAGTAGAATTTTGCCCTGTGGGAACAGGAATGCAACCCAATTAATAAACTATTTTAAGGTGATCATAGGTTGAGTATTTGCATTTAAAATGATGGCAAAATTCCCTCACTAGAAATCATCCTAATAATGCACCATTTATGAGGTGTCTGCCTTGCTGAAAATATAATACTTGTTCTCAACAAACATTTATAAAGCAGGAATTTTCATAGTATTCATCTATAAAATCTAGATGCAATTACTGTACAGTGGTGCACAACTGGTTGCAAGGCCATCCTCAAAAAGTAAAAAGAAAAAGGAGTACTTGTGGCACCTTAGAGACTAACAAATTTATTTCATCGGATGCTGCATGTATCTGATGAAATGAGCTGTAGCTCACGAAAGCTTATGCTCAAATAAATTGGTTAGTCTCTAAGGTGCCACAAGTACTCCTTTTCTTTTTGCGGATATAGACTAACACGGCTGCTACTCTGAAACCTCAAAGAGTAGTTATCAGTGGTCCACTGTCAAACTGGGAAGACCTATCAGATGGGGACCTGAAGGGATCGGTCACTGGTTTGGTATTATTCAATATTTTCATTAATGACTTGAATGATTGAGCGGAGAGTATTCTTATAAAATTTGCATATGACACCAAGCACTTTGAAGGACAGGATTAGAATTCAGATGACCTTGATACTTCGGAGACTTGGTCTGAAATCAGTAAGATGAAATTAAATAAAGACAACCGCCAACCTACACTTCAGAAAGAAAAATCATGCACAAATACAAAATGAGGAATAAATGTCAAGGCAGCAGTACTGCAGAAGAGGATCTGGGGGTTTTAGTAGATCACAAATTGAATATGAGTCAACAATATGATGCTGTTGTGAAAAAGGCAACTGTCACTCTGGTATATATTAACAGGGGTGAAAGACATGGGAGGTAATTGTTCTGCTCTACCCGGCTCTTGTGAGGCCTCAGCTAGAAATACTGTGTTCAATTTTGAGCATCACAGTTAAAGAAGGATGTGAACAAATTGGAGAGAATCCAGAGGACAGCAACAAAAAATGGTAAGAGGTTTGGGAAACATGAGCTATGAGAAAAAATTGAAAGAACTGGGCATGCTAGGCTAGATTAACAAAGAAATTCAGGTACCTAGAAAATCAACAGTATTCACAAAACCGAGGTTTGGCACCTAGGCTCCCTATACAATGAAAGGGCACAGATAGATGCCTAAGAATGGGATTCACAAAAGGCAGCATGCCAGGACATTCTTTTCCTAAGATAATCAAGGGGAAGCACTGAACCAGGGGTGTGTGCTAAGGCATACCCCTCTGTCAGAGCTAGGCACCTATGTCTGGACTGCAGGGAGGTGTCTCCCTCTGATTGGGACTCTCAGTTGCAAACGCTGTCTTGGAGATAGGTGTCTCTACCACTTTTGCAAGAAGATGGTGGGGGGGAAGGGGGCAGTGGTACAAGGGACGGAATGAAGGGAGAAGACAGAGGGCTATGAGAGGAGAAGCTCCCTCTTAGCCCAGTGGTCAGGTATTTGCCTGGGATGTGGAGACCACATATTTTCCTCAAGTGGAGTGGGGACTTCAACTTGGGAACTGAACAGGGATCTGACATCTCTTAATTGAGTGCCCTAGCCACTGGGCTCTGAGATATTCTAATCCGAGGCTCTCTCAATCTTTCCTGTTGAAGCTGTTCCACTGTGGGTAAATATTTTAAACAGTCATTGGAGCAGGGGAACTGGATTCTGGGTCTCCCTCCTCCCAGGTGAATACTCTAACCAAAAGGCCACAAAGTCATTCTCATGCTTGCTCTCTCTGGTCAAATGATTCTTTCATTATTTATCCACAGTGCGACAGTTTCAACACTGGGGGGAGGTCAGAAAGAGGGCTGGGGGAGAAGAGATAGAAAGTGCATGTGTGAGTATGACTCTGTAGTCCGGTAGTTAGAGCACTCACCACAGAGGTAGAAGATCCATGATCCTGTCCCCTTGCTTCAATGACTTATTTATTTATTCATACACAGTGGAACAGCTTCCATCAGGGAGACTGAAGGCGCCCCACAACAGAATATCCCATACTCCAGCAGGTAGGAAGCTCACCAGAGATGTGCCAGATCCCTCTTCATGTTCCTTCTCCCCTTCAGGCAGAGGAGGGAGTTGAACCAGTGGTCTCCCACCTTACTGATGAGTAACCTAACCACCAGGCTAAAAATTATGAGAGTTCCTCCCCGCCTCTGGCCATTGTGTGAACTGGTCTATTAGGCCCAATCTGGCAGGTGAGGTCTGAACACACTTACCAAATAAAACTCCACAAGGAAGTTAAGTGTTCCTCTGCCTAATTTTTCCTGGTCTGTGCATCACTCTGGAGCCTTAGGTGTCCAGGTGCCTGCCATGGGTCTACAATATGCATGCACAGAGGCAGAAACCTAAGTACCTAAGGAACTTTTACTGCACAAATTTAGGTGCTGAGCAACTTTGGTGCCTAGAAGATTTAGGGGCAGCTGAGTGGGGGTTTTTGTGATGAGGCCTGATTCTGGGATTTAGGGGCCTAAAGTGGCAGCTGGATGCCTAAGTCCTTTTGTGAATCTAGTCCATTTAGTCTAGAGTTGAGAAGGCTGAGAGGGAACATAGACTCATAGAATATCAGGGTTGGAATGATAACACTCTTCAAATATACAGTATATAAAAGACTATTGTAAAGAGGAGGGTGATCAATTATTCTCCTTATCCATGGAGGGTAGAACAAGAAGCAATCATCTTAATTTACAGCAAGGGAGATTTACGTTAGAGAGGAAAACCTTTCTAACTATAGGGATAGTTAAGCACTGAAACAGATTACTAAAGGAGGTGGTGGGGGTTATCAAGAACAGGTTTGACAAACGTGTCAAAGACGATCCTCAGTGCAGGGGGATGGACTATAACCTCGAGGTCCCTTCCATCCCTACATTTCTATAATGCTATGACTACCACTCGGTTAGTATTTCAGTAGCAACAAGCTAGAAAAAGAAGTTATATATTAATGGTAATATCAGACTTCATAAACTCTCTAATGCCCTTTCCAATCACATTGGCCAAACTTTTCCAGATGCTAGTTGTTTTTTTAGAATGACAAGGGAGGAAAGCTGAGGAAGCTGCGGCCCAACAACGAGCTTAAAATTGCTGAACTAGACCTTGCCTGCATACAAATTCCAAAGAATAAAAACCAAGAAATATTAACCAGGTACCTTAAAAGCAACAGAAAAACCAAACGCTTTTTAAGTACTACATTAAATGTATTGAAGGACATAAAACTCACGTCTGAACGGAGTGCAGTCTCCTGGTCTGCCCACAAGCCCAGGCACCCCTGGCTCAAGCCTCACCCTGCAGGGATGCGTTTGAAGATTATAAACACACCTACCCACACGCCGAGTTCTGCAGACGGTTTGTGCGGTGCTCGTAAGCTCTCCCCGGGAGGGGCCGCGGCCGCCACTGAGCTTGTACAGCACCTAACACGGGGCCCCGGCTGCTGCCAGTAGCATTACGGAATCCGTACCACACGATCGGAGGACGAGCGCCACTCCACGCGGGCCCTGTTGTATTACTGAAGTAGCCCCACGCCGCACTAACAGCCACTGCCCCGGCCCGCCCCGCGCGATGGAGCCGTGTTCCCAGCCAGCGACCAGCTGTGGACAAACGTGCAGCCCCCGGGGCCTCCTCGCCCACAGGTCCCGCTCACCTGCCGCCTGCTGCCGGGCCTAGGCCTGCCGCCGCCCGCGTCGAGCCCAAGGACAACTAGGGCCAGTCAAGCAGCTGCTATTGGACAAACCACCAGCCTGCCGGCACAGACCATTAACTGTGGAGAGGGGGGATTAGCTTGCCCCCGGGCCGGTTGAAACTATTTCGAAGTTCCACCCCGCCGCCCTTGTGAGTCTCTATGGCTCGACTCCCGTAACTAATGCGGGTGCGAGGCCGCAAGGCCCGAGTGTCCCGATCCATACTCCCCTGGGCTGCCAATGGTACAGTCTATTTCCCTTTCGCTTTCTCCTACGCCAGGCTCCTGAGCCTCGCCTCCCCTTCTCAGTTCAAAATGGCGGCGGCTGTGGAAGACACGGGGTCTGACTGGCTGGGGTTCCCCCTGTGCTGTCCCCACTGAGTTTAGGGGGCTGAGGGCAGCGGCGTGGGGCTGGTGGTGAGGTAGGTGCTGGGGTGTCTCCTCCCCCCATGTCCCCGGGCAGAGCCTGATACAGCGACCTGGCCCCTGGCGAGCAAGGAGGCTGCCCGTCCCAGCGCGTGAGGCCGGGGGACTGGTCTGGGTTGGGGAGCTTACCTCAGCGCCCCCCCTCATCAGCGAGAGCGCGGGGGAGGCGCTTCCTTGCCGCCGGGTTGGCTTGGGCTCGGGACCCTCCGCGGGAGTGCGGGAGAGCGAGGGGGGCGAGCTGGGGACAGGAGACCCCCGAGCGAGGGGGGCACCTCCAGAGAGAGGCGGGAGTGAGAGACTGTGCTCCTCAGAGTGAGGCCGCTGGGGACAGGGGGCAGTGAGTGAACCAGATCTGTGTGTGAGTGTGTCCTGCTAGCATTGCATCTCCTTAGGGGAGACCTCTAGCCTTCTGGAAATGACAGAATCATAGACATGTGGCTGTAAGGGATCTGTGAGGTCCTCTAGTTCAGCCCCATGGTAAGTTAACCAAGACCACCCCTGCCAGGTATTTATCCAGCCTGTTTTTAAACTCCTCCAAAGATGGGTGTTGTACAAGTTCCCTGGGAAGAGAATAGAGTTAGAAAAAAAATTCTAATATCTAACCATGTTTTTTCTTGCTGCAGATTAAGCCCTTTACTTCTAGTCCTGCTTTAAGTGGACATGGAGACCAGTTGAGCATAATCCTCTTAGTAACAGCACTTGAAGACATAATTGAAGACTATTTTCAGGTCCCCTCTGTTTTCTTTTCTCAAGACTACACATGCCCAATCTTCAGAAAAAGGAGGCCAAAGTGTGACTCACTGTTTTCATTAGTATTTCTTAAAAGTTATATTTTAAAATACTGCTCGATTGTAGTGACCATTATGAAATGGTGAGTTCATGCTTCTAAGGAATTGGTAGGAGGGAAAACAGCATAATAAAGATAATGGATTTCAAGAAGGCAGACATTAGCAAACTCAGGGAATTGGTAGGTAAGATCCCATTGGAAGCAAGTCTAAGAGGAAAAACAGTTTGAGAGAGTTAGCAGTTTTTTAAAGAGACATTATTAAGGGCACAAGAGCAAACTATCTTGCATAGGAAAGATAGAAACTATGGCAAGAGACTACCCTGGCCTAACCAGAAAATCTTCAGTGATCTGAAAATCAAAAGAGTCCTATAAAAATGGTAATTAGGACAAAGTAAAAAGGATGAATATTTATTAAAAACACAAGTAGATAGGGAAACAATTAGAAAGGCCAAGGCACAAAATGAGATTAAACTAGCTAGAGACATAAAAGTAAACAAGAAAACATTCTACAAATAGATTAGAAGCAAGAGGAAGACCAAGGACAAGATAGGCTCATTACTCAATGGGCGGGGGTGGGGAGACAGTAACAGAAAACGTGGAAATGACAGAAGTGCTAAATTTTTCATTTTTCACCAAAAAGATTAGTTTTGGACATCTGACATAGTGAATGTCAATGAAAATGAGGTAGGACCTGAGACTAAAATAGGAAAAGAACACGTTGAAAGTTTCTTAGACAAGTTAGGTATCTTTGAGTCAGGAGGGCCTGATGAAATACATCCTGAAATACTCAAGGAGCTGACTGAAGAAATATCTGAGCCATTAGAAATTATCTTTGAAAACTCATGGAAGATGGGAGAGATTCCAGAGGACTGGCAGAGAGCAAATGTAGTGCCAGTCTATAAAAATGGAGAATATAGACCAGTCAGCTTAACTTCAGTACCTAGAAGATAAGGTGATAAGTAACAGTCAACATGGATTTGACAAGAACAAAAAAAATTTTAAAAAATTAATTGCGATTAATGGTGCAATTAAACAATAATAGAATACCGTTTATTTAAATATTTTTGGATGTTTTCTACATTTTCATATATATTCAAGTATAACCGTATACAAAGTGTACAGTGCTTACGTTATTTTTATTACAAATATTTGCACGGTGAAAACAAAAGAAATGGTATTTTTCAATTCCCCTAATACAAGTACTGTAGTGCAATCTCTTTATCATGAAAGTTGAACTTACAAATATAGAATTATGTACAAAAAAACCTGCATTCAAAAATAAAACAATGTGAAACTTTAGAGCCTACAGGTGCACTCAGTCCTGTTTCTTGTTCAGCCAATCACTCAGACAAACAAGTTTGTTTACATTTGAGGGAAGGAATGCTGCCCGCTTCTTGTTTACAGTGTCACCTGAAAGTGAGAACAGGTGTTCTCATGGCACTGTGGTAGCCAGCCTTGCAAGATATTTGCATGCCAGATTCACTAAAGATTCATATGTCCCTTCATGCTTCAACCGCCATTCCAGGGAACATGCGTCCATGCTGATGACGGGTTCTGCTTGATAACCATCCAAAGCAGTGCGGACCGACGTATGTTCATTTTCATTAGCTGAGTCAAATGCCACCAGCACAAGGTTGATTTTCTTTTTTGGTGGTTCGAGTTCTTTAGTTTCCGCATCGGAATGTTGCTCTTTTAAGACTTCTGAAAGCATGCTCCACGCCTTATCCCTCTGAAATTGGTACCTTCCTTGTGTTTTGTTAACAAGCATCATCATCATGGAAGCATGTCCTCTGAAATGGTGGCCAAAGTATGAAGGGGCATACAAATGTTTACTATGTCCGGCATATAAATACCTCGCAGTGCTGCCTAGAAAAGAATTCCCATGTGAACGTCTGTTCTTGCTTTCTGGTGACGTAAATAAGAAATGGGCAGCTTTATCTTCTGAAAATGTAAACTAACTTGTTTGTCTTAGCGATTGGGTGAACAAAAAGTAGCAGGGAGTGGACTTGTAGGCTCTAAAGTTTTGCAATGTTTTGTTTTTGAGTGCAGTTAAGCAACCAAAAACAATTTACATCTGTAAGTTGTAGTTTCACGATAAAGAGTTTGTACTACGGTACTTTTATGAGGTGAACTGAAAAATACTGTGTTTTATCATTTTTACAGTGCAAATATTTGTAATAATAATTCTATAAAATGAGCAGTGTACACTTTGTATTCTGTGTTGTAATTGAATCAATATATTTGAAAATGTAGAAAAACATCCTTTTTTTTGTAAATTTCAATTAGTATTCTATTGTTTAACAATGTGATTAAAACTGATTAATCATGATTGGTTTTTTTTGCGTTAACTGCAATTAATCAACAGCTGTAGTAGACGCCTTGTGGATGGGGGGAAAATGTTAGATGTTTACTTCTGGAGGGAAGTCGCAAGAGTGGTTATGTGCCCCTCCCCACCAGCACAGGCATATCGTTTCAGGTGCCCGGAGCAGCCAGCAGACAGGTAAATCACTATGTGGGGGGATGCCCCAGCTGGTGGCTCCTACCCTGTGCCAGGCTCAGCTGCTAGTCTTGGCTGGGAGGACAGAACTTCCTCTTCCCTGGCAAGTAGCGGCCGGGGTTGGGTCAGACCCACCCCCAGAAACCTCCCATGGCTGCAGGAAGCACTGCATCCCCACTTCCTGCCTCCATCATTTCTTCAGCCATGGGAGAGGGGTCAATGTATGGGGACCTGCTCCCTTGTCCACCCAACCCCCGTGCATCCTGACCTCTCCATACCTAGACCTGCTGAGCCTTATCCTCCCTGTGCTTGAACCTCCACCCGGCCGAGCCCCTTCCCCTGCATCTGGACTGCCACCCCTGCAGCCATACCAGCCCCTGTTGAGCACCCACACTTGAACCTCCACCCCAGTGAACCCCTCACTGGACCACCCTGACAAGCTCTGCACCTGGACCCCCAACTAACTGAGACCCAACCAGCTGCACCCGGACTCCAGCCCCTAGCACCTGAACCCCCTCGCTGAACCTCCCTCACCCCTTCTCATTCCCATCTCCCCCACACCTCCCTGCTGAGCCCCAACCACCTTCACCTGGACCCCTCTGCAAAGTCTCATTCCCCCACACTGGGAACCCCCGAACGAGCCCCTGTGCATCCAGTTGCGTTCCCACACTTGGACCATAAGAATGGCCATACTGGATCAGACCAAAGGTTCATCTAGCCCAGAATCGATATTGGGCAAGGCCGGGTGCTTCAGAGGGAATGAACAGAACAGGTAATCATCAAGTGATGCATCCCCTGTTGCCCATTCCCAGCTTCTGGCAAACAGAGGCTAGGGACTGCCCCACTGAGCCCCTGCATCCAGCTTGTCCCACATAGAACTCTCTCACCCTGCTTCTGGATCCCCTCCACACTTGGGTCCTGCGGGGCTGAGCCTGCCTGCCCCACACCTGGATCAGGGACCAGTGCATATGTGAGCAAGCGAGAGGGGCATTGTCTCTCGATCTTGGTTCGTCTGGTATGGAGGGGCCCGGCCCTGGGCTGTTTGTGGGACAGGCCCAGCCCTTGCACTGTGTGAGTGTCTGGAGGAGCATTACTGCTGAATCTGTTTCTGGGGGGGTTGCCGCAGGGTGATCTCCCACCTCCATGCAGCCAGTGGCAAGTGCTCCCTACTGCCATGTTAGAGCCTGTACGTTTATTGACGAAATATGCAACATTTTTAATTTTTTTGTGCAGAATTCCCTCAAGAATGAGGGTGGTATATTTTGACATTAGTAAGGTTTTTGATACTGTCTTGCAAGACCTCATAAACAAACTAGGGAAATATAACCTAGCTGGAGCTACTATGGCTGCAGAACTGGTTGGAAAACTATTCCCAGAGAGTAGTTATCAATGGTTCTCAATGAAGCTGGAAGGGCTTATCTAGTGGGGTCCTGTAGGGATTGGTCCTGGGTCCAGTTCTATTCAATATCTTCATAAATTATTTATATAATGGCATAGAGAGTGCACTTACAAAATTTGTGGTTGATACCAAGCTGGGGAGAGGTTGCAAGTGCTTTGGAGGATAGGATTGCAGTAGAACCTCAGACTTATGAACGCCAGAGTTACAAACTAACTGGTCAACCACACACCTCATTTGGAACTGGAAGTATGCAGTCAGGCAGCAGCAGAGACCCCCTCCCAAAAAAAAAAGCAAGTACAGTACTGTGGTAAATATAAACTACTAAAAATATAAAGGGAAAGGTTTTTTTAAAAGATTGGATAAGCTACTCTTTCTGTGCTTGATTCATTTACATTAAGATGGTTAAAAACATTTTTTTCTGCATAATAAATTTTCAAAGCTGTATTAAGTCAATGTTCATTGTAAACTTTTGCAAGAACAACCATGTTTTGTGCAGAGTTATGAACAACCTCCACTCCCAAGATGTTCATAAATCTGAGGTTCTACTATAAAATTCACAATGATCTGGAGAAATGGTATGAAGTGAATAGGATGAAATTCGGTGAGGACAAATGCAAAACAGTCCACTTAGGAAGGATCAATCGATTGCACACGTACAAAATGTGAAACGACTGCCTAAATGTGAAGATGTACTGCTTAAAGGGATCTGGAAACTGTATTTTCCACTGAATGCATCCGATGAAGTGAGCAGTAGCTCATGAAAGCTTATGCTCAAATAAATTTGTTAGTCTCTAAGGTGCCACAAGTACTCCTTTTCTTTTTGGAGATTATAGTGGATCACAAGCTAAATATAAGTTAACCGTTTAACACTGCAAAAAAAGTGGATGTCATTCTGGGATGTATTAGCAGGAGTGTTGTAAGAAAGACACAAAAAGTAATTCTTCCACTCCATGCTGATATGCGCTCAACTGGAGTATTGTGTCCAGTTCTGGGCACCACATTTCAGGAAAGATGTGGACAAACTGGAGAAAGTCCAGAAGAGATCAACAAAAATGATTAAAGGTCTAGAAAACATGACCTATGAGGAAAGACTAAAAAATTGGGTTTGTTTAGTCTGGAGAAGATGTGGGGGAAAGGGGACATAGAAGTTTGTTACAAGGAGGAGGGAGAAAAGTTGTTCTCATTAATCTTTGAGGATAGGACAAGAAGCAATGGGCTTAAATTGCAGCAGGGGTGGTTTAGGTTGGACACTAGGAAAAACTTCCTGTCAGGGTAGTTAAGCACTGAAACAAATTGCATAGGGAGGTTGTGGAGTCTTCATTTTGCAAGTTTTAAAAAACAGGTCCAGCGGTTCTCAAACTGGGTTGTGACCCTGTTTTAATGGGGTCACCAGGGCTGGTGTTAGACTTGCTGGGGTCTGAGGCTGAAGCCGAAGCTTGAGGGCTTCAGTCCTGAGCAGCGGGGCTCAGGCTTTGGCTTCAGCCCTGTGCAGCAAGACTCAGCTTACAGCCTCCCTGTACGGGGTGTCGGGGCTTGGGCGTGGGCTTCGGTCCTCCCGTCCCTGCCCAGGGTTGTGTAGTAATTTTTGTTTTCAGAAGGGAGTCGAGGTGCAATGAAGTTTGAGAACCACTGGATTAGACAATTATCCGTCAGGAATGGTCTAGTTATTACTTAGTTCTGCCTTGAATGCCGGGGACTGGACTAGATGACTTATTCAGGTCCCTTCCAGCCCTACGCATCTGTGATCTAGTTTCTCAGGCTTTTTCTGTTTCTTTGTCAATCTGCCTTTCTCTTCCTCTTCAGTGGAAGCTTGTGTGTATGTCTGTTTATCTCCATCTAGCTCTCTTTTAATGAATAATCCCTTTTAAGTAGGAAGTTGCCATACATTGACTTGCAACAGTTTTGATTGTTGACATTAATAAAAAATTGTTAGGTTTTAGGGAAGTATCTGAAAACCATCCCAATTTAAGAACAATAAGAAATTGTTTTCTGTGTTTGTATTATAATATAGCGGCTCAAATAATAGTGTCAGTAGAATTCCTGGTAATTGATAACTAGAGGTATTATTATCTAGTAGTAATAATAATACACAATTATTACTGATGCATATGTTTGCACAAATGATAAAATAACAGTTGGTCTAAATATCTAAACTTCTTTTGTATTAGGTGTTTACATTTTTTTTCTTTTTAAAATAGTTGTTTTGGTAAGCAGACATTTGGACAGAAAAATGACCTCCATTATCAAGTTGACTACGCTCTCAGGGGTGCAGGAGGAATCTGCTCTCTGCTACCTGCTGCAGGTAGACGAGTTTCGTTTTTTATTGGACTGTGGCTGGGATGAGAATTTTTCAATGGATATCATTGATTCTCTAAGGAAGTAAGTAATTGCTTATCCTTTGTTTTTTAATAAAAGTCCTGAAATCACATTACTGCATGTTGTAAAACATGATATTTTATGCTCATGATGTAGACTAAAAATCCAAAATTTTTGTTTTCTGTTTAAAATTGCCTATATGATAGGGAAAATCACTCTTCTAAAACCTTTTTAATAAATAGGTCTGCTCTGTGTATATATTCTGTATATATTACATCAGCTTGCATTAGTTACAAAAATACGCTTTTTACATCTAATAGCCCTGCAGATTCAATATGTACAGCTATGAGATACTGAGTTTGGGTCGATTCTGGCCTATGTATTATCAATAAGGTTACGAGTCTGTCCCAGAGGTCACGGACTCCGTGACTTCTGCAGTGGCTAGTGCTGGCTCAGAGGCTGCCCAAGGTGGGCAGCCCCTGGGCCAGCAGCAGCAGTTTGGGTGTATGGAAGGACGCTCAGGACTAGGGGCAGAGCGTTGTGGGGTGCGGGGGGCACTTACCTTAGGGTGGGAGGCTCCCACTGGCATGGCCTGCAGCTCCCAGGCAGCGAAGCAGGGCTCTGCGCTGCCTGTGACTGCAGCCCCCCCCCCCCCCCCCCCCCCCAGCTTCCATTGGATGCAGTTCCTGGCCAATGTGAGCTGTGGCAGCCAGCGCTTGTGCCCCGCTGTCGCCTAGGAGCTGTAGGGACATGGGGCCAGGTAGGGAGCCCCTGCCATCCCCGCCAATCCTTCCCAGCACCAGCAAGGGTCCTGAGCCACCTCCCCCAGCACCTGTGGCACCGCTGGACTGCCCGAGGCCTCCCTCCCAAGTTTTAGTCACAGGTATTTTTAGTAAAAGTCATGGACAGGTCACAGGCAGTGAATTTTTGTTTACTGCCCGTGACCTGTCCATGACTTTTACTAAAAATACCTGTGACTAAAACGTAGCCTTAATTATCGACAGAATTAACTAAATACAAATAATAGAATCTTACTGCTGATCATGCATAAGCAAAAAAGAAAAATTTTGACTCTCGCCTGCTATCTGGTGTTTCAGCTGTCAGGAAAAAAAAGTTTGTTTTAAACTGAGCAAGTTAGACCTCAGTTCTGCAGCAAATGCATACAGGTGGGCTCTTACACTGAGCCCCATTTAATTCAATGATGGCTCTGTGCATGTGTAGAGAGGGGTCATCCTGTACTCCCTGTGATTACAAGAGTGGGGTCTAAATATGGATGTTCCTGAGAGAACATAAAATCCTCACAATGCCAATTTTAATCACAGTTCATAACATCACACATTAAAATCTTGTTCAGCTACACATTGTGATACAATAATTGCAATATGGTCTTTAATGTTTTCAAAAGTTTCTTGAACCAGACAGTCATTCTTCGGGAAAAGGGTTTTCCTGCTACATGTGCTACTCAGATATGTGCAATATACATGCTGTTAGCATTTCAGCTAATACATTTTTTTTCACTTGTCTGTTGTTCTGAGTGTCTCTATTTTTATAAAATGTTTAGCCAGTGGGTCAAAGAATCAGTTTTCTTACTTTTTAAAAAACAATCCAGCCACTTACTGTTGTTTGAAATATTTACATTTGACCTCTTCCTCTTTCTTTAAAAAGATGATTTTTTTAATTTGGCTTTTACAGATTTGGGACTTGATTCTGTAACCTTTACTCCTGTTTTTTTAAATGGGACTATTCAAGTGAGTAAGGCTGTAGAATTGGGCCCTGAGTCCTAGACTAATTTAATTTCACAATTAATAAATGTAATGTTTCTTAAAATCTTTTGATAATGTTAGCCATTCAATTAAGTAGCAAAGATATTAAGTCATCTAAACTTTTATTATTTATAATTGTAATACAGATAAGCACTAAACAAGCGTAATCATTCTGGAGGAGAAAGAGAATATTACATTAAAATGTCAGGTTGGCATGGTACAGCTAGAAGTATTCATGTTCCAGAGCCAACCAAACAGTCATGAATAATTAAATGTGTATAGTTTTCAAAGAGCTTTGGAAAACTAGTTTTGTGAAAAGCTAAGGGAAATGGCATACTAAATCTGTTTGGAGATTGGATTCAAGCTATTTCAATTTGGAAATATTTTAATCCCTTATTTTACTAGTTATCACCTGTCTCAAATTGTAGTAATGCAATTCCTGTGAGTCTGGAGTTTGCCAAATTAGAAAATTAGGCAGTTTTGAAAAGCTTACTCTAAGTGACTTGGGATCCTAAGTTCCATTTTGAAAAATGACTTGGGCAGTTAGGCTCCTAAGTCACTTCAGAGCTTCTTAAAATTATATCCTTAATTTTTATTTTTTATAATGGTTATTAAAACTTTTCCTTAGTTCAAAGTCCCCATTCTGTTGGGGAAAAACTAAGTGATTTCTTTTCTGCTTGGCATTTCAGTTTTGCACTTGATGTTACCACAAAGTCTCCCCCCCCCCCCCCCCCCCCCCCCCCCCCGAAATTTTTTTCACGTATATTTCCTTTTCTCTCCTAGATATGTACACCAAGTTGATGCAGTGCTTCTTTCTCACCCTGATCCTCTACATCTCGGTGCTCTCCCGTATGCAGTTGGAAAAATGGGTTTAAATTGTGCTATTTATGCAACCATTCCTGTATATAAAATGGGACAAATGTTTATGTATGATCTCTATCAGGTATATTTTTATTTCATATTTTCACATGTATTTAATTTATTAAACTGTTTCATAGAAGATGATTCTCAGGATTTTAAATGTTTTCCTTTGTTTCCTTTTTGTGCTAGTCTCGCCACAATACAGAAGATTTCACGCTCTTTACATTGGATGATGTAGATGCAGCTTTTGATAAAATACAGCAGCTCAAGTTCTCGCAGATTGTGAACTTGAAAGGTAAAAATGCAGCAAAAGATGCAGTAGCTGACTTGTCTTTTAATGGAGTTACTGTGCATTTTCATTTTGAACTTGAGTTTGCTTTTTTGAGGAGAGTACTTGGCGTAGGTCCTCTGCCTCACTAAAAGTGGATCAGTAGCACCACAGAGTAGCAGATCCTCATTGGTGTAAGCTGTCAAAGCACCACCCATAGCTGAGGATCTGCCCCAGTGATTACATTTCAGAAAAAGGCCCAACTCCCATTGAAGTTGGTAAGGGTTATGCCAGATTGAATTTGACTCTCCTGTCCTATGTTTTAGTTCTCATCTTTATTTTTCTGATATCTTCCATATCTCTAAAATACGTCTTGTTGTTATCTAATTGAAGGCAACATTACTGACAGCTGCTTACATATTTTCCCCAAGTGAAAAGGGGCACAAATAAAAACAGAAAAGCAAGTTCTTCAGGAAATGGACAGGAGTACTGGAGATTTCTGCTCAAATTATAGTAGTCTAAGGCAGTGGTTCTCAACCAGGGGTATGCATATCCCTGGCAGTACGCAGAGGTCTTCCAGGGGGTACATCAACTCATCTAGATATTTGCCGAGTTTTACAACAGGCTACATAAAAAGCACTAGTGAAGTCAGTACAAACTAAAATTTCAAAAAATGACTTGTTCATACTGCTCTATATACTATGCACTGAAATGTAAGTACAATATTTATAGTCCAATTAATTGATTTTATAATTATATGGTAAAAATGAGAGAGCAATTTTTCAGTAACTGTGCTGTGACACCTCTGTATTTTTATGTCTGATTTTGTAAACCAATAGTTTTTAAGTGAGGTGAAACTTGGGGATACACAAGATAAATCAGACTCCTAAAAGGAGTACAGTAGTCTGGAAAGGTTGAGAGCCTCTGGTTTAAGGCATTAACCCATTTATTGGGACAAAGTTAAGTCCTGTCCACACTAACTAAACCAAAGAGAAGTCATGTAAAGTTTGAACTGTCTTATAACTGGGTCCCTGACTTGTCATATTTGTAATGTAAGTACTTACACAATTGTTAGTACTCAGGCTGAAGGGAATAATGACTTCTGGCCTCCCTAACATGATCTCCTCCGTCAGTAGTAACTTGGGGTTAGTGGTTTATTTCAAACTGCCGTGTGGTTGGGATAATGTATTGTAATATGCATGCTATATCTGAAATATTGAGAGGTTACAATACTGTCCCTGTAGGGAAAGGGCATGGTCTTTCTATTACACCACTGCCGGCTGGTCATATGATAGGAGGCACAATTTGGAAGATTGTCAAAGATGGAGAAGAAGAAATTGTTTATGCTGTTGACTTCAACCACAAGAGGGAGATGTACGTACAACGCAGCAAATGATATTTTTTCCCAAATTTCAGTTAGTATTGCTATGTAATTTAACAGTGCCTGATAAATACTTGTATTGGCATGAAATATAAATATAGCCACCATCAAATCCAGCTGTTTGAGGTGAAGTGAAGTTGGCAGTGTACAACAGAGCAGTAAGGTCTCTGTTTCTTCCTTCTCAAATCCTGTTTTTAATTTAATTGTAAGTTTTGAAACAGAAAATGTCCAGTGCTACAGCTGGGGAGAGGAGGGAGAAGTCTCTCCTCCCAGTTGAAAAAGGAGAATAAAAATATAAATAGTGTCTTTTTTTCATAAAAATAAAAAGAAGCAATCTTCTGAGGAGAAGAAGAATGAGACAATGATAAATAACTGTCCCTTTTATCAGGGGAAAAACAACCATGCTAATGAGCCCCTAAATGCCAATATATGGTCCAACTTGTAATCAAGACTGCAGATGCGTGGGAGTGGGGACAGACATAAATGTTGCATAGTAATCTAGGTACAAAATGCAGATACCAAAGGCTTCGGGGGGCAGAGGGGGAAGGAGAGTTTGAATCTTATATTTGTGGGAAATTGCAGTGTTTATTTTCTCCTTTGATCAAAATGTGATTACAGGGAAATTTTTGCTTGTAGGAGTATTCACAGCTGGTCTCATAAAGAAGTAATTCAAGAATAAGTCAAATGGGACAGACATTTATTAGAAAATGGAAAAAAAAATACATAGGTGACTTGGTGCTTAAAATGAGGAAATAATTATATTTAGATTCTTGTGGAAGTGTTTAAGATCCTTTAAAAGAGAGACAAGGGCAAATCTCCCCTCTCTTCCCCCCACTCCCACAAAAAAGATAACTTATATTCTGTGGTGCTCTAGGAAGGTTTTGTTTTAAATTAAAATGTGTTAAAGGGACAAATGGAGATGAGAATAAAATCAGAGCGGAAGAAGTTTGCAGACTTAAAACATCATAAATTATTTGGGGTTTGTTTGCCTTAAACTAAATTTAAGGGGTGCTGAGAGGTTTCAGGTAAGGAAAGGCATGACAAGTAGAAAATTAAAGCAGGGTGAAGTTGCCATGCTTTTGGCCTAACAAAAAACTGTTCTTGCTAAACATGGCATAAGCACATAATTATGAAGCCAAATCATAAACTCCATGTTCTAGTACATTTTCTATTAAGAAGTATCATCTGATTCCTACGATAGAGGGCTTTTTTCCCCCCAAGGTTTTTTGTTGTTAAAAGACCGTAAGAATCTAATTGAAAATTTGCCGGATAATGGGGAATACCAGTTCTGCACATACTTCTCAGTGTGAAAGTTTTCAATCTTATGACTTTTTTTGCCTTGTCAATAGAAATACGAAAACTGAACTAGTGTTGCCTAACTTTTTTCTTCAGCCATTTAAATGGATGTTCTCTGGAAATGTTGAGCAGGCCTTCGCTGCTTATCACAGATTCCTTTAATGCTACTTACGTACAACCCAGACGGAAGCAAAGAGATGAACAACTGTTAAGTATGTATTTTGCCAAATCAGTAGTAATGGAAAATATCTGTTTTTCAATTAAGTTATAAACTTCTACAACAAATGCAATATACATGAAAACTGAGAATCTTTAATTTTCTTTTAAGTTTCTGATTTATTTTTATTTTTTCTAACACTAGTGATCCTGTGAATAAACATATTTTCAGATAAAAGTTGATTGAGTCGTGCTTGCTGAAATTGATTCAAAGACTTCATGTTTTGATCTAGCCTGAGCTGATCTGTTCCTGTGAGATAAGGAAGTAAATTTCAATAGTTCTTTGTGCTTCATTTGAAAAAAAAATCATTACAATGGATTTAAAAAAAGAAATTGCTATTAAATATTAAGGCTGAGTTTTTCAAAGCTCTATGGCGGGGGCACAGCTCCCATTAATTTCAGTGGGAATTGTGCATCAATATCTCTTTGAAGCTGAGATTTCTCAGTGCTGCTTATTGTCAGTTAATCTTTGAGTTTAGTTTTCCTCTGATTATAGTTGATGTTTGGTAGAGAAAATAAAAATCTTTCTCCTCTTCTAATTGTGGTTCAGTGTGCAGTTACTTGATTTTATTTATTTTTTTGTTTCTCCTCTCCCATCCCACTCCAGCCAATGTCTTGGAGACGTTGCGAGGTGATGGAAATGTGTTAATAGCCGTGGATACAGCAGGCAGAGTTCTGGAACTTGCCCAACTTCTTGATCAGATTTGGAGAACAAAAGATGCAGGATTAGGAGTCTACTCTTTAGCACTTTTAAATAATGTCAGCTACAATGTAGTGGAGTTTTCTAAATCACAGGTGTGTTCTGATATTAAAATAGTTATGAATGGGCTAATTATTTTCATTCTTAATGCTGCTTGATAACAATAGGCTTATCGAAGGGCATGTAGTTCTTTTTAACATGAAGAAAGTTTTTTGTGTTACTGGGCTGACTTCCCCATTCCAGAGTGGGCACTCATGATCTAAATTCCCTCCATCAAGTAATATACAACCAGAATACTGCCAGTGGTATGACTTGATCGACAGGGAAATCCATTTTCTTTGTACCACGTGACCTGTTAGCCTCGGTTACAGGTGTGATAAAGAATATTTAATTTATATATATGATATGTGATCGCCCACAAAGAGGTATTGGTAAAGAGACTGATTTGATGTGTATGCATACTGCACCGGTCAACTTGAGAATCTCTAAAAGAGCATTTTTTAATGTTGTCAGGTACAAGTATATAGTTCGTACATCAGTTTTAGTTATTACAAAGTACCATGTAAATCCTACAGATGACTTAACACTTTTTTCCAATACCACCCTTAGGTTGAGTGGATGAGTGACAAACTGATGAGGTGTTTTGAAGACAAGAGGAACAATCCATTTCAATTCCGCCATCTCTCATTGTGTCATGGTCTTTCTGACCTGGCTCGAGTGCCTAGCCCAAAAGTCGTGCTTGCCAGCCAGCCTGATTTGGAATGTGGGTTTTCAAGAGATCTCTTTATACAATGGTGTCAGGATTCCAAAAACTCTGTAATTTTAACTTACAGGACCACACCTGGGACGCTAGCAAGATTTCTTATAGATAACCCTTCTGAAAAAGTTATAGATATAGAGGTAAGGAATAGGTTACAATTCAGATTTTTTGATGTTTACCAACTGTGGCAATGTTTGCAAGACCTAGCTTAAATTTCTTTTTTGATTCTGCTATTGAAAATTTTGTCTAGTTGCTGAGAGAACTCTTAAGCCACGTTTCCTGACGTGTCAAACTGTAGTTATAGTTAAGCATGGCATGGTCAAACAAGAATAAGATCAAAAGTAGATTTTATGGTAGGGAATTATAATATATTAGCTGAAGGGCAGCGTTATAAAATCTGCAGCATAAGCATGGAAATTGCTAAAAAAAATCTTTCATATCACAGAAGCACACCCATGTTACAGTAAACAGAAAGTAATTGTACAGTTTCCTGTTGACTTTTAGATGTCAAGGTGCAGTAGCTATTTGGACTAAAAAATCATCTTGAAAAAGAAAATCAAGCTGAGTGAGGTTAATATAACACAAGAAATTTAAAAAGATAAAATTAAGGGTGGAAAATAAAAGGGAACAGTTGACTTATACAGCTGATTTCAGTAATTTTTCATACTGCACCTGCCCCTGATTCCACCTGAGAAATTTTATGGTTTGTATGGGAGTGTGTACACCTCTGACTTCAAGGGGGTTCTTTAGCAATTTCCATATAGATTCTACAGCTTTCTTTTATAATTTCCTAAAAGAATAGGATGACACTTCATGCATTATTGTCCTCGGGACACAGTATTATTTAGAATAAGTTATACTGTGGTTTGCCTTCTTTAAAGCCAGAGCAAAATTTGCTGCTGTTCCCTATAATAGTATTCAACTTTGGCATTCTGCTCTTGTTTATCAGTGGCAAAGACAGGGAAAGCAGAATACCAACACCGAATATTATTGGGGGGGGTGAATTTTGCCCTATTCAGTTACTGAAAGCAGGGGAAAAAATAATTCCTGCACTTTAAGTTACTGAATGAAGATCAGTTTCTATTTAGGAGTTCTGTAAAGTAAATCAGTTGATCTTTAATACAGTTTTACTATGACTATTTTATTGTTCAGCATGGTAATACTATATTTGCTCAATTTTAACAGTACTAGGGATTTTATTTCCATTTTAGAGTAAGTTTACTACTCAACTCAATGTGGATACAGAATGTAGCCTTAATCACTTTGGTATCCTGATATTGATTATGACTGGGTAAAAGTTTGAAACAGTGCAATTGAAAGGGTATTAAAACTTCCAAATAAAAGTTACAGCTTTTTTGAAGTTGCTTACCCTAATACAATTTTTCCCCTCCTTTTATATTTTTACATACACACACACACACACACACTCTTTTTTTTTTTCTTTTTAGTTGAGGAAACGTGTAAAACTTGAAGGAAAGGAACTTGAGGAGTACCTAGAAAAGGAGAAACTAAAGAAAGAAGCAGCGAAAAAGTTAGAACAGTCCAAAGAGTAAGTATATTTCCTATTAATGCAGTGGGCTCTTAATGCCAAAGACACAGCCTCCAAGTAACCAGTATGATTCCTTACCACCTTTTGGAAATAACTGAATATTGTAGCTTCCATAGGTGAAAATATGTCAGATCATTCATTAGTCAGCTATGGAGTTCTGTTTTAATGGGTCCCTTTCAACTCTCTTTGAGAATCACAAATGCTTTCTAAAGTTTGTAAGCCATCTTAGTTCTCCAGCAGTAACTGCTTTTAAATGTTTCTAAATGTTCATTAATTGCAAAATTAGGCCTGTGACAGTCTTTGTGCAGGCAATGGCCAGCAAATGTTTGATATATAGTATAAAATTTCATTTTAAGTGTGTGTGGATGGGTGTGTAAAATGAAACTTAAAAGAAATACCTTAAAGTGCATTTTGGGGTAACATTTCAGGGCAGATATTGATTCCAGTGATGAGAGTGATGTTGAAGAGGATATTGATCAGCCATCAGTGCATAAAACTAAGCATGACTTGATGATGAAAGGTGAAGGTAGCCGAAAAGGAAGCTTCTTCAAACAGGCCAAGAAGTCTTATCCAATGTTTCCAGCCCCAGAAGAAAGAATTAAATGGGATGAATATGGGGAGATTATCAAGTATGTGCGGGGGAAAAAATAGTAATGTTATTTGTATAGTGTTTTGTTTTTGAAGCACTTGCGACAGACCTGTGAAGTAGGTATTATCCCCACTTTAGACAAAGGATAACAGACAGAAATTAAGACAAGTTGCTGTAGGTCCCACAGAGAATTAGTGATTGTGCCAGGACTGAAATTAAGAAGTTCCTACCTTTTTCCTCATGCTCAGTCCATTTAAATCATGCTGCCTCTCTAGGCACTTTCTTTATCTGAGAAGAGAGTAGTGATTAAATTCTTTTCTGTTCAACAGGAACCTGATTTTTGTTTAAATTCCACAATCTGATTTATAAATGACTTTAAAATGAAAAGGAGGGAAAACATCCTCTTTCCCGGAAGCCAGCGGTTTCTATCTGCCTTTTAAGGAACTCCTACTAAAGAGAGAGAGAATCTTGCAGAATGTTGGCTGATTTTAAATGTGAGAAATTGAAATATCTAAAAGATACTAATCTGGAAGAAATATAGTTAATCTGGGGTGGAATATCCTTGAGCATGTTTAGAGATTGGAATTTTAAAAGCATTTTTGCTGAACTTACATACTTCTAATTGTAAAGCAACTCAGTGGTAATATAGTGTAATAATAAATATGGTTTGTATAGCACCTAGAACCATGGTGCTACTTTAATACAAATAATTAAAAATTTCAACATTAGGCCTGAGGATTTCCTAGTTCCAGAGCTTCAAGCAACCGAAGAAGAAAAGAGTAAATTAGAATCTGGTCTGACAAATGGAGATGAGCCTATGGACCAAGATTTATCAGATGTTCCTACCAAATGTATTTCCGCAACGGAATCAATGGAAATAAAGTGAGTGATTTTTAGTTAAGCTTACAGGTGGAGGGCACTGTTTGTCAGGGATTCACAACTGAAATGGCTGATGCATTGTAAACAGTGTTTAGTTGCTTATGGTTTTTTTTCTCAAAAAATATTTTTCAGGCTGAAACTTCATGATGGCTTCTTATTTTTTTCCCCCCAAGTTCAGAGGGAGATTTTTCTGGGGAACTGGAAGATAATTTGTTGGGGTTTTTTTTACGTTTATGAAAAGGGTAGAAAATCATTGAAAGAGATGTGTGTATTTCAAGTATCACCTATTAAATCCTTTTTTTGTAAAGAAAACTAATTGAAAGAAACCTACATTAATGTAGCATTTAGTCATTATTTTATGGCACCCGGAAGGATGCTAGGTGCCTTGTAGCACAGATGAAAAGACACAAAAGAAAATTTTGCCCCTTTCTTTCCCTCCCCCCTCTCTCCCTCCCCATATGGTGCTTGGGTGGTTTAAAGAGGCTGGGGGAGAACTCCACTGTTGCAGACACTGCATTGGGCTGCCATATATGGCCGAAGTGTGGCCTTCTCCCCACCCTCTTCCTCTTGCAGTCTCTGGCATTTTGGGGGGCATAGTGCACATAACTACTGCCATTCTGGCTTATGCTGCAAGCAACATGGGGGAGGCTTCTGTAACTTACAGCAGACCCACCTCCCTGGGCTGCCTAAACTAGGTTGGGGCCTGTTTTGGAGTCAGGAAGGCACAAAGTGGCTTAAAGCTTCCTGTGGGCTGCACCTTTTGTGTTGCTCCTCCTGGAGGTGGCACAGAATTTGATTCGTTCCTAAGAGTTTACAGTCTACTTTTATACATGATGTGGTATTGGGTAGGAGGGGGAATGGGAAAGGAAAAGCAAGTGTTACAGCAATAAGACAACATAATTATTCTCTCTAAATTTAGAACATAAAGCATTAAGAATTTTTTTTCTTTTTAAATCAAATTAGAGCCAGAGTTACATACATAGACTATGAAGGACGCTCAGATGGTGACTCCATTAAAAAAATCATTAACCAGATGAAGCCACGACAGTTGATCATTGTCCATGGTCCACCTGAGGCCAGCCAGGACCTTTCAGAGTCTTGCAGAGCTTTTGGTGGGAAAGATATTAAAGTTTATATGCCTAAACTGCATGAAACTGTAGATGCAACCAGTGAGACTCACATCTATCAGGTAAGATGGTGGGATTTGTCAATTATATGAGTACTGAGGGATGTGAGAGCTCTACATTGATCAGATTATGTCATTATTTGTCTGTGCCTTTTGGAGGGAAAGAAGATAATGCTATGATCACTTACATCTAGTCCTATTGAGGCAGGAGAATTAACTTTTATTTCTGGGGAAAGATGGAAACATTTCCATTATAATCATGTGGATATTATGTTATACCTACACATTATTAATGCAGTCACTACATTAATAGAAGTTTAAGATTACATATTTAAGCCTGCAGTTATAAAGTGCAAAAGGAAAGTATCTCATTCAACTTGCTCTGCTGAACACATTGTATATATTTAGGTATGCATTTGAGTCCCAGTCTTGCATTTCTTGTATATCCAAACTTCTTATTGAAACTGCTGTAAGAGTTTTGGATGCAAAAGAAATAGCCCAATAGTAACTGAAAATATGCATGTCAAGTAAGAGCAAGTTAATTTTACTAAAAACCTTAACTATACCACTACTCTGTGTGTTTGTGTGTCTGTGTGTAACATGAAGAAAAACTAGAGAAATTGCCTGAGCATGTCAGCATTATAAATGGTTCCAATTAAGCTTTGAAGCAGAGATCTAATGGAGGGGTAATGGGGCTAGAGAGAAGAGTACACACCTCAGTTTGAAGGAAGTGGGGTATGAATGAGAGCATGTGAGAGCTGGTTGGAGAAACTCCAATGGAAATCCAAATTGAAATGCTTCTCGAAATTGTTGCTTGACTTTGGAAGAAAACCGGGTTAAAGTTCAAACAGTATTGAAATGTCTCATTTCAACTGTTCTGGAATAAAACATTCTGATTTTTCATTTTGAAAAAAACCTATTATTTTGTATTATAATAAAAAATGTCAAAATTGGAAAATGTTTTGATGGACCTGAAACAAATATTTTTTTGGAATTTTCCTTTATGGAGAACTTTACAACTTTCAAGTCTCATTCAGAAGAAAGTCAAATTTCAGAATCAGTCACAAAACAAATTTTCTGCTCTCTGCACAGTGCTAATTCATACCTTTGCAGTATTAACATCTGAAAAAGAAACAGGTGGGGGCATCAGAAAATGAAGAAGAAATCAAATTTATTTTTTGGGAGGATTATGGTGTGTGTTTATAATGAAACCTTTGCAAGTCTCCTTCATACACTTGATCCCAACAGCAGCATCATCTGGGCCAAGGAATACAATGCCACCGTGAAGTCTCAAAAAAGGCAGGTTTTTACTGGAATCTGTTAATATCTTAGATTCCAATTGAATGTGGTTAAAAGTGATGTTTTAGTCACTTAAGGTTTAGATATTTAATCTTTTCCCATCATGACTGGTAAAGAACTACATAAGTGCCATTTAAATGCAAAGTTGATATGTTGTGTGGTTGATTTTTTTTTTTTTTTTTTAAATCTCTCCAATAATTCAAACATAGCAGAAGGAACTGTTCTTAAACATACCAAGAGCAATCAAGGATAGTTTTAGCGCTACAGAAAAATATTTCAGATTAAAAATATGTGAAAAGGGGAGTTACAACGAAAGTCTCACCTTAACCCTCAAAAGCCACAGTCTGATCTGCTTATCTTTACCAAGAAAGAGCACTAATATTTGTTTGTTTTTTTTCTGCTGCTTTCCAAACCAATTGTCAGGTGCAAGCCATGTGTACTCTTCTGTCACTTAGTGTTGTGCTTTATTGCTGGAGGGTTTTTTTCCAAAGAGTGTGATGGATTCAAACAACATGGTGTCATAATGTATGGGGAAATTATTAATTTTTAAAAAGTTGGTGTTAAGAGCCTGTGAAATGTGCTGTCAGGTTTGCTTATGTAAATAAGTCATTACAGTTTTTGTCTATGTGCAACTTAGGTCAGGTTAAAAGATTCTCTGGTCAGCTCCCTTCAGTTCTGTAAAGCGAAAGATGCAGAACTGGCTTGGATAGATGGCGTCCTGGACATGCGGGTTTCAAAAGTGGACACAGGAGTCATTCTGGAAGAAGGAGAGCTGAGGGAAGATGGAGAAGACTTGGAAATGCAAGTGGATATGCCTTCTTCTGAGTCCAGTGTTATTGCACAGCAAAAGGCCATGAAGAGTTTGTTTGATGATGATGATAAGGAAGTATGTGAGGAGAGCGAGATCATCCCTACTCTAGAACCACTGCCACCACATGAGGTAGAAAAGCTTTTGCCTTCCCTTGGCTACATGCTCTCTTATATTTGTGCTGATTTTTGTCTTATATTTGTGGGGATGATTTTCCGGTATCATTTTTTCAATGTTTAGAGCCTGACTTTAAGTGGCACTTATTCAGGTAGAAGCCTCATTAAAGTCAGGAGCTTTGCTTGAATAAGGCCTCCAGTATCGGACTGTTCATGTTGTAAATTGGTGTCTTAGGGCTTGTTTTCACTATGGGGGTAAATCGACCTAAATTACGCTACTCCAGCTACGTAGCTTAGGTCGACTTACCCCAGTCTTCACTGCACTGCGTTGGCGGGAGATGCTCTCCCCTTGAATTCCCTTACTCTTCTCGGGGAGCTGGAGTACTGAGGTCAACCGCTAAGTCGACAGCAGAGCGCTCTCTGGGTTTTCACTAGACCCACTAAATCGATCCCTGCTGCATTGATTGCAGCAGCATCTATCTCCCTGTAGTGAAGACCAGCCCTTAGTGTCAGGTTTCAGAGTAGCAGCCGTGTTAGTCTGTATTCGCAAAAAGAAAAGGAGTACTTGTGGCACATTAGAGACTAACCAATTTATTTGAGCATAAGCTTTCGTGAGCTACAGCTCACTTCATCAGTTGCATACTGTGGAAAGTATAGAGGATCTTTTTATACACACAAAGCATGAAAAAATGGGTGTTTACCACTACAAAAGGTTTCTCTCCCCCCACCCCTCTCCCCTGCTGGTAATAGCTTATCTAAAGTGATCACTCTCCTTACAATGTGTATGATAATCAAGGTGGGCCATTTCCAGCACAAATCCAGGGTTTAACAAAAACGTCTTGGGGGGGTAGGAAAAAACCAGGGGAAATAGGTTACCTTGCATAATGACTTAGCCACTCCCAGTCTCTATTCAAGCCTAAGTTAATTGTATCCAATTTGCAAATGAATTCCAATTCAACAGTCTCTCGCTGGAGTCTGGTTTTGAAGTTTTTTTGTTGTAATATCGCAACTTTCATGTCTGATTTTTACGGTTGTTCCACAGCTACTGCTTTCTTTGTTCAGAATGTGAGCGCTTCAAGATAGAGAATGTCTCTTTGCCCTGGTCTACATTAGGGGGTGGGGGATCGATCTCAGTTATGCAACTTCTGCTATGTGAATAACGTAGCTGAAGTTGACGTACTTAGATCAACTTACCATGGTGTCTTCACCGCGGTGAGTCGACTGCTGCCTCTCCCCTGTCAACTCCACCTGCGCCTCTCGCAGCGGTGGAGTACAGGAGTTGATGGGAGAGCGCTCAGGGGTCGATTTATCGCTTCTAGACTAGATGCAATAAATCGACCCCTGTTGGATCGATCACTGCCCGCCAATCTGGCGGGTAGTGTAGACATACCCTTTATTATGTATAATATACAGTGCTTACCACAATGTGATGCTGATCTCAGATGGGGCTTCTAGGTACTGATGCAATACAAATTTTTATTTATTATGTGACCTGTGCACTTACCATGCATGACTTTGGAAATCAGTTGGTATTTGGGCTGTCAAGCAATTTAAAAAATTACGATTAATTGTGAGATTAAAAAAATAAATTGCAATTAATTTTTAATTGCACTGTTAAACAGTAACATAATACCATTTATTTAAATATTTTTGGATGTTTTCTATATTTTCAAATATAGGCAGGGGTCTTGGGGCTTCAGCCCTGCTTGGGGCTCCTCGGGGCTCGCGTGGGGCTCCAGGCTCAAGCCTCCACCCCACACCAGGCTCCGAGCTGGAGCTTCAGCCCCCTCACTGCCAATGCCTCTTCACCTCCACCCAGAGGTATACGATTGATATGTTTAAAAAAATTAACGTGTTAATTTTGTTTTCAGTTAATCGCAGGCATTAGCTGTGATTAATTGACAGCCCTAGTTGGTATCACTCCTTGGATTTACTCTTAAATTTCATCTGACACTGTGGTAAATGTTTCCTTATCTTATGTAGTTAAAGATAGATACATGCACAAATATCATTTCAAAAAGAAGCACCTAACTGACCAACAGAGAATCAGACAGTGCAATTCTTATAGCACTCTTCGTCCTTAGTCCTCAAATACTTTTGTGTATCTGGGTAGATATCATTAACTCCTTTTAAGAAATAGAGAAAACTGAGACATACAGATGTTAAGGGTAAGGTCTTGTGCTGCAACTCTTAGGCCAGGTGGAGGTACGTTGCCACCTTTGTACCCTCTCAAACCAGTACTGCTGAGGGCCTCTGTATCCCTTGGAGCATAACTTAGGAAGGCACCTAGGGCTGTCTAAATTATGGCAGCCTCCCTGGGCTGTGCTGTGAACCACAGTTTGATTGTCGGGGCACTGCTCCCAGCACACCCCTTGCCCCAGGGCTTGTGAGCAGGTCCTATCAGGGAGCCTTATGGCTGTCTTACACAGTACCTACGCAGGGGGAAATCCTCTCTTGGCTAGATCCAAGGTTTATAGGGCCCTTTCATCTGGCATAAAAGGGCTTGAGCTTGGGTGAGAATCTCACCCCAGCTGACTTTCCCAAGATCACAGAGCTTGAAAAGGAAACCAGAGTTTCCCATGCCCTGTCCCGCAGGTCTAGGATCCCAGCACAGACCAGGAGTTGCTCGTGAGGAGGCTGCCTTAAAATCATTACACCTATCAAAGGGGAAATCGAATAAATTAGGGCTGTGAATTAATCACAGTTAACTTACACTATTAACTCAAAAAAATTAATTGCGATTTAAAATATTAATCGTGATTAAACTCTGTTTTAATCACACTGTTAAACAAGAGAATACCAATTGAAATTTATTAACTAGTTGTGGATGTTTTTCTACGTTTTCAAATATATTGATTTAAATTACAACACTAAATACGAAGTGTACAGTGCTCACTTTATATTATTTTTTATTACAAATACTTGCACTGTAAAAATGATAAACAAAAGAAATAGTACTTTTCAGTTCACCTCATACAAGTACCGTAATGCAAACTCTTTATTGTGAAAGTGCAACTTACAAATGTAGATTTTTGTCACATAACTGCGCTCAAAAACGTGTTCCTCGGCCCACGCCACTTGCCACAGCCCCCATTGGCCTGGAACTGCGAACTGTGGCCAGTGGGAGCTGCCATCGGCCAAACCTGCAGACACTGCAGGTAAACAAACCGTCCTGGCCTGCCCACGGATTTCCCTGTTGCGCTGTGTGCCAAAGGTTGCCAATCCCTGCTTTAGAGCATACAAGTCTACTGAGTCCTACTTCTTATTCAGCCAATCACTAAGTCAAACAAGTTTGTTTACATTTATGGGAGATACTACTGCCCACTTCTTATTTACAGTGTCACCTGAAAGTGAGAGAGGCGTTCGTATGGCACTTTTGTAGCTGGCATTGCAAGGTATTTACATGCCAGATATGCTAAACATTCGTCTGTCTCTTCATGCTTTGGCTACCATTCCAGAGGACATGCTTGTTAAAAAAATAATGCGTTAATTAAATTTTAACTGAACTCCTTGGGGGAGAATAGTATGTCTCCTGCTCTGTGTTACCCACCATGTATTTCCATAATATAGGAGTCTTGGATGATGACCGAGCACGTGTTGTTCGTTTTAAAAACATTTTCCCTGCAGATTTGACAAAACACAAAGAAGGTACCAGTGTGAGATTTCTAAAGATAGCTACAGCACTGAACCCAAGGTTTAAGAATCTGAAGTGTCTTCCAAAATCTGAGAGGGATGAGGTGTGGAGTCATGCTTTCAGAAGTCTTTAAAAGAGCAACATTCTGATGTGGAAACTGCAGAACCCGAACCATCAAAAAAGAAAATCAACTTTCTGCTGGTGGCATCTTTAATCAGATGATGAAAATGAACATGCATTGATCTGCACTGCTTTGGATCATTATCCAGCAGAACCCATCATCAGCATGGACACGTCCTCTGGAATGGTGGTTGCAGTGTAAAGGGACATATGAATCTTTAGTGCATCTGACACGTAAATACCTTGCAATGCCTGCTACAAAAGTGCCATGTGAACGCCTGTTCTCACTTTCAGGTGACATTGTAAACAAGAAGCGGGCAGCATTATCTCCTGCAAATGTAAACAAACTTGTCTGAGTGACTGGCTGAACAAGAAGTAGGACTGAGTGGACTTGTAGGCTCTAAAGATTTACGTTGGTTTATTTTTGAATGCAGGGTTTTTTTGTACATAATTCACCATTTGTATTTTCAACTTTCATGATAAAGAGATTGCACTACAGTACTTGTATTAGGGGAATTGAAAAATACTATTTTTTTTTGTTTTTCGCAGCACAGATATTTGTAATAAATAAATATAAATTGAGCACTGTACATTTTGTATTCTGTTATAGTTAAAATCAATATATTTAAAAATGTAGAAAACATCCTAAAATATTTAAATAAATGGTATTATTGTTTAACAGTGCGATTAATCGCGATTAATTTTTTTAATCGCTTGACAGCCCTAGAATATTTTTTTCCAATCATATGCTCAGTTACTTTATTATAAAGGCTTAATAAAAATGTTTTACTAAAATCTTTAGAAGATTTATTTTTTGTACTTTATTCATTGAAAGGTTATTGGACATCAGTCTGTTTTCATGAATGAGCCAAGACTGTCTGATTTTAAACAAGTTCTTCTGCGAGAAGGAATTCAAGCTGAATTTGTAGGAGGGGTGCTTGTGTGCAACAACCTAGTGGCTGTTCGTAGGGTAAGTATGTTGTTTTTAAAGCTATATAGAATATATGCAACACATTATGTGTATCTCCCTAACCACCTCACTGTACAGATAATAGATTCAAGTATGTTTTTTGTTTCAGACTGAAACAGGGCGCATTGGATTGGAAGGCTGTCTTTGCCAGGACTTCTATAGAATAAGAGATCTTTTATATGAGCAGTATGCCATTGTCTAATGGAGATGCTGTGAAGATGATGTCTTTACTTGAACTTTAAAAGACAGTGGAGATTTCTACCTTTTTATTTTTGTGGGTATCTTTTTGTAGTTTTCTAATTTCTACAGAGAATACTGATTGTTCAGAAAAGTTAGACATCAAAGTCCAGTAAACTAACCTAAACAAGTAAATAATTGCTACCACAGTTCTATATAAGACATCCCTTGGGACATTCCACATTGCTGGCTTTCAAGCTGTTAAAGAATATTGTTGCAAATACAATTGGTATGCTATAATTGAGATTGACAGTTTCCTTTACGAACTTTCTTCCGAGAAGGATTTTACTGGTCATAAACATGCTCTTTGACGTGACATGGCATACCAAGTCTCTGCCTAAGAATGCAAATATATAAAAAGAATCTGTTTTCCTATTTTAAAAATATCAGAAAAGGTTGTCTTTGGTTTTTGTGGGGAGGTTCTTCTACTGAACAGTAGAAGCTTCAGCAAAAAAATTTCTAGGCCACTGAAAATTGGCCAAGTTCTTAATAGTGACTTTCCTGCAGTGGTTAATATGCACCCTTGTGAATACTGTAACTGCTTCATGCTACCGATTGATACAGTACATCATAAGATATTCCGAAATAAAATCTCAATTTCCTGGGTCAAAAAGCCAGTCCTAAAATGTTATAAGGTTAAATACATTTTTAGAATGTAACGCATTCTAAAATACAGAATGAGTGGAAAAACAAAGGTTGTCTGGCATATCTGCTAACCACATGTTTTTGCATTTTCTCGCTACTGTATATGTATATATGCATAACTTCTAGTTGTTACAATCTGTTACGCCAGTTATACCTATCTTTTGTGAATTTTGATTTTAATACTTTCAAGAAAAAAAACAAAACACCTGCATTCTGTTACTTATAATAAGTAGTGCACAGTGAGGTGAGTTCAGGAAGGTATTCTGTCCTTACATCTGAATTCTTGACTATGTGAATTTATCTGCTTGGTACCAGGTTTCATAGTACTTGGTTTTTCCTATTGCTGGCAGTGGGATTACAGCCACTGGTACTAAAATTTGTTAGATTTTTAGTTGAATATGAACAGTCTTGGGTCACTTAACTTCTTACATTTCTGAACAGAAAACAGTGATGGAACACATGCAGAGCACTGGTCTATTAATCAGAAATTACTTTTTTATTCTCAACCTTTGGTTTTAATCAGTGTTTGAAATTATTCTTCATTTATTACAACAACGGTGGCTTAAACTTGAGTTCTGCTTTCATTTGTTTATTTTAAAAAAAAGCAAACAAAACTTTTAATGAAATATGGGCAAAAACCAACTCTGTGGGCTGCTGCTGAAGCACAGATTAGTTTGCTGTTCATTCTTGACTATTAGGCATTGTATAGCTATTCTTTTCATTCTTGACTATTAGGCATTGTATAGCTATTCTTCATGTTGCCTATTTATACTGTTTAAAAGTTGGAATAGGAACTTAAAAGAAAACTGGGATAAGCATTCAAAAACTTCTGATACTAGATGTAAAAATGTAATGCATTCTAAAATATGATTGAGAGGAAATATATGTATTTTGATACACACACATGCCTGACTAGAAATAATTACCAAAATGTGGTAAGAATTTTTTTTTCCTTTTTTGTTTTGGTTTGTTTGGGGGGTTTTGTTTTTTAAGTTTAGCCAACACTTTAGAAAACATTACTTTCAATGCATGTAAATCTAAATCACTGTTGGATGGTTGTCAGCAAATGTCACCTTTAACCATTGTTCTGATAGAAGTCCATTTGCAACATGACCTAAACATTCACATAGGTAAACTGACTCTGGAGCTTTTATCCTGGGGGTAAGAGAGATTACATCAACATATACTGCTGGAATTTATTGTGCAAATTACTTTTTAATTCCATAATTTTTTGTTCATGAAAATTTCTTAAAACAAAACAATCTCACTTTAATAACAGTTTATTAAGTTGGCAGTGTAAATTTGAAATTAACATTTACTGTACTTTCTTCTCTATTCTATTCTTTGACAGGATGAGTGACCTAGTGTTTGGGGGAGAAGCAGTAGATGGAAATATCTTAATTTTTAATAAGGCTTTTGACACAGTCTCACACAAAATACCCATAAGAAAACTAGGGAAATGTGGTCTACATTAAATTACTGTAAAGTGGGTGAATAATTGGTTGAAAGACCATACTCCAAGGTAGTTTGCTGTCAAACAGGGTGACTTATTTAGTGGTATCCCACAGGAGTCTGTCCTGAGTCCAGTGCTAGTCAGTATTTTCATTAGTGACTTGGATAATGGAATGGAGAGTATGCTTATTCAAACTTGCAGGTGACACTATGCTGGGAGGGGTGCAAGCACTTTGACCAACAAGATTAGAATTCAAAAGGACCTTGATATGAAATCAGCAAGATGAAATTCAATAAAGACAAGTGCAGAGTACTATACTTAGAAAGGAAAACTCAAATGCACCACTGCAAAATGGGAAACAGCAGGCTAGGTCATAGTACTGTAGAAAAGAATCTGGGGGGTTTAGGAGATCACAAATTGAATATAAACTAACAGTGTGATCCAGGTTCGAAAAAGGCAAACATCACTCTGTGGTGTATTAAAAGAGAGTAATATGTAAGACATGGGAAGTAATTGTCCAGCTCTGCTCAGCACTGGTGAGGCCTCACCTGGAGTACTATGTCCAGTTTTGGGCATCATAAAAGATGTGGATAAATTGGAGAGTCTAGAGGAGAATTACAAAAGTGATAAAAGGTTTAGAAAACCTGACCTATGAGGAAAGGTTTAAAAAAAAATCCTGCATTTTTAGTCTAAAGATGAGAAGGCTGAGTGGGACCTGATAAGTCTTCAACTATCAACTAAGGGCTGTTTTAAAGAGGACTGTGATCAATTGTTCTCCATTTCCACGTACCGTAGAGCAAGAAGTAATCAGCTTCATTTGCAGCTAGGGAGATTTGGGTTAGATATTAGGAAATCCTTTCTAACTGTAACGATAGTTAAGCACTGAAACAGATTACCAAGGGAGGTTGTTGAATCTCTGTCTCTGGAGGTTTTTAAGAACAGGTTAGACAAAGATCTGTCAGGGATGGTCTTAGGTATGCTTGGTCCTGCCTCAGTTCAAGGGAATGGACTAGATCGGGGTTCTCAAACTGGGGGTTGGGACCCCTCAAGGGGTCACGAGGTTATTACATGGGGGGTGGCGAGCTGTCAGCCTTCACCCCAAACTCTGCTTTGCCTCCAGCATTTATAATGGTGTTAAATATATAAAAAAGTGTTTTTAATGTATGGGTGGGGGGTCGCAGTCAGAGGCTTGCACTATGAAAGGGGTCACCAATACAAAACACTGAGAACCCCTGGACTAGATCATCTCTCAGGGTCCCTGCTAATCTTATATTTTTATGATCTTATAATAAGGAGAGGTTGAATTGAAACTATCTGTTACTGGAGATAAAATCATGCTCTATTTTGAAATGTGCTTCTAGCTTTAAACAAGGAACCCAACTGTGCCATTTTTTTAACTGCAGTGCATTCCTAACCAAATTACCCCACTTCACAAATAAAAGGATTTTTTTTTTTTTTTTTAAAATGCCAGCCCTGCCACTTCTATGTAAGCTCTGAATATTAAGCTGTATCCTTTCTGGCTCATGCATCTTCTGAGGCAAAACTGTTCCCTCGATTACTTTTGTTATTAGCCCTGTTGTCTTCATTGGAAGTAACTGAGGGCAGAATTAGGCTCTATGCTTATGATTCATCTGCAGTCTTAGGATTTCTTGGTGGTACATCACTGTTTCCACAGCTGAGACTAGGACAGAAGGTCTGGAGGCACAGCCCTGGCAGCAGATGAGAGATCTGCAGTACTTGGGGGCTGAACCCCAGTTTCTTCATTCTCCTCTCCTTGCCTACCATCACTTCATGGAATTTGGAGGAAATACCATGAAGGAATTTTAAGTAAGTAGGGGTTTTTTTATGGGAAAGAAATGTAGGACCCTGCCTTTTAATATGTAAATGTACTGAAGATTTCTATAATCATCGGTCCCCATCACCTAAGTTGAGGTTTACCTTGAAGCTAAATGACTTTCATTTGGGTGAAAGGCTCATTTTTTGCATTCTGCTTTACCTCAACTCAAGTACACACTGCCAAAGTTGAAAATCTGCCCCATCCCCTCCACCCCGCCTTGGGCAATATTGAGAATTGTTTAAGGCAAAAGATTCAGGGAAGCCTTTGAAAAAAAGTAAATAAGTTTTAACAGAGGGAAGGAGAATATACCTAGTATTAAACTGGAATGGCAAGGTTCTTATGAGAACACTTGAGAGCAATCCTTTGCTAAAACTGTGCTGGAAACTTGAGATGTCTGCTACTCCTGAACTAATTGTAGTGAGACACTTCTTCATTTGGTATAAACAAGCAAAGAGACAACCCCTTTGGGTCCCAACTGTAATAAAAGTTCTACCATAACTCATTGATACTGTGCTGAATCAAAACCACTCTGATGTAGCATGGCACCAAAAAAGTGTGAATTTTTCAATTGGGAAAGGAAGCATTTTGCCTTTGGAGAACGTTTTAAGGTCAAGCCTCAGATTTATTTATTTATTTATTTATTTATTAAAAGGGCTAGAAGCTCGTATAGTACTTTACACTCCATGGTTGTTACTGATTTAAAAAAAAAAAAAAACCTGTTCAATTAATTGAAAGCCTTTATGCCTAAAAATCTGTTATAGACATCTGTCCAGGCAGGAGGATGAAATCTTTGTTGTTGTTTTTGTTTTTTTTTTAGTTCATGCACCACAATGTTTGGTTTTTTCCACCCTTTAAAAATAATGGTTGTGGGGGAGAGCTTGGTTTTTCTTTTTAATTGGATGGTGATTTGTGGTATACGGCTCAATCCCCAAATCATCTATGTCAGGGATTACTGTTTAAATTAATGGCAGTTCCACACAGTAAATGACATTACTCATCAAAATAATCTTTTAAAATATTTAGAATTTTGAAACTATCAGTGTAAGGTAGGTTATAAATATGGAGGTCTAAAGACCTTTTTCTGTGTTACAGAGAAGCTTTCTGGTTGAAAAGACATCTGAGTTTAAAGAATAAACATTTTTGGTTCAAAAGCAAGTGTTCATTATTCTGGGGCTCTGTTTTGTAATAGAATCTGTACAATAGTGACTCCTGCATTTAATAGACACAGAATTGGGCAATTAACTGAGCCTGAGATATAAATATACTCATTTTTAGAAAATGCTGCTTTTTTCTCTCTCTCTCTGTTTCCAGCAAGGTTGAGTACACCTATGTAATAAGTGAAGCTTTTTACAGAGAATTTTCTATGGTGAAATCTGTTTCCTCAAGATACAATACCCAACTAGACTAAACGTCTTATTTTGCGTGAGATAATGGTTGGTACACATTATGGATTATTGATGTATAACATATTGAATGACCCATCATTGACAAATTATGGAAGAGATCATTGCATTCTGCCTTCCTAAATTTCCCTAATTTTATAAGTTACTTTTCACTTCCCTGCCCTAAAAATTATTTTGTGTAGCATTGCCTAGTTGTCACGTTGTACTGCAAAGGTGGTTGCATTTCAGTGATGGCTTTAGGTGATCCATGTCTTTGTATGTAACATTTTGATATTAGTAAACTGTGGGGAAAGATTTGGAGAAAAAATACATGCAATTACACACACACACTCTTATTTATTTATTTATTCATTTATTCATTCATTTATTTATATACATACATACATACATACATACTGCTGGGGAATCTTTCCATTCAAGGGACCCAGGGTTTAGTCCCTGCCATATAGTTACCTGAGTTAACACAAATTTGGTTGGTTTGTTCCCCCTAAATAAGTCAGCCATATTCTTAAATACTGAGATTCTTTTATACTACAAACACTCATGACATAGAAAACCTTGAGGAAGATATTCTTTTGCTGTTGGGTGATTCCTGGCATCTCCTTTCCTCCACTTTTTATTTCCCCAGAAACATGCTTAACCGCTACAATTATTCATTAGGTATTTTACATTTGTATTGTAAATATGTATATAATGTATATTTAGATTTGCTACCTAGCAAATGCAGAAGAGGATAAGTCTTAAAACGGTTTCTCAAACTTCATTGCACTGCGACCCCCTTCTGACAACAAAAATTACTACACAATCCCAGGAGCGGGGACTGAAGCCTGAGCCCTGCCATCCTGGGTGGGGGAGCCAAAGCTCAAGCCCCACCACCCTGGGTGGAGGGGACCAAAGTGGAAGGTCAAGGGCTTCAGTCCCGGCTGGTGGGATGTAATTTCAACCCTGCTGCCCAGCAAGTCTAAGCCAGCCCTGGCGACCCCATTAAAACAGAGTCACGACCCGCTTTGGGGTCCCGACCCACAGTTTGAGTACCACTGTCTCTTAAAAAATGCATTTTTAAAAATCCATGGATGGAGGTTTAGGGGACTAGATTTTAATCATACCTATGCACCATCAAACTACACTTATGGACAATTATAATTTGCCACTGTAAAATGTTAAGTAAAAATACATTTGTTTTTCCAAGTGGGATGTCTGTTGAACCA